TAAATGCCGCAGCTAATATACGTATCAAACAGTGCACTTCAAATAAAAACGAAGACCATGGGAACAACAATTAAGAATTAGTAATTGAAGTCACTAGGACAGTTTGTAAATGAACAACGTGTGAGTGTTACGTGTAAACGGACTGTCAAGATCATAAAAATATCAATTTTAGAGTTCTGCCTCTACACGCACAAATAGGCAGTATTCCCTTTGTGTGACAAGTTCAACTATAACTCTAAAACACCGGAGATGACACTGTACAAGGAACGAAATTACAAGTTTTTCATGCCACGCGACTTCACGTTCTGTGGTGTCGTAAAGTCTTTTGTGTATGTCGTCAGTCTTTTGCGATTGTCCGTAAGTCTTTGCGATGTCGTAAGTCTTTTGCGATGTCGTAAAGTCTTGTGATGTCGTAAAGTCTTTTGCGATGTCGTAAAGTGTTTTTGTGGTGTCCGTTAAGTGTTTTGTGCGTAAATATATAAAAAGCTTAGACTTGGCTCTGTAAAAAACACCCGTCGCGCCACCTTCGCCGGCCTCTTTATTCCGCCGGCTCCATATAGGACAGATGTTAGGCGGTTCTTGGTAATTGTCCATCACTACTTCGGTTTACCTCCGCATCTTTCGATTATAATGATAATGTCTTCTCCCTTACCAGGACTTGTATACATGTATTTTAGGTGGTGGAGGTCGAGACCGGAAACCTCTCTTTAGAGTCTTTCTTCTAATAAAGCTAAAAAAACATTGAGGTTCTTATCTATGGTAGTCTTACGTCTGGTCCTAGACTGTAACGACCTCCGTCCCTCCTCTCATCCCGCTCGTACAGGTTTATAAGCTCTTGACAGGTCTCTAGCTTTGGGATAACCGATTTATATTATTCCTTTATTTAAGTTAAGAACCGACTCGTCTTGCTCACCTACATACATCGATTACTATGGTCACCTTCACCGCCCTGTTCATCGCGCTTCTCGCTCGCGCGCGTTTTTCTTCTTCGCTTCTAGCGCGCGCTGTTCTCCTCTTACCTACTTGTAACATTGTACTGAACAAAGCATACCCCGACTGAAAATAGAGATTTCCGCGCGCTCGGTACCTTCAGTGGTCTCTTGAGCAGCTGCCTGACAACGCAGTGGGCACAATAGGACGCAGACCGGTACCACCAGCGAGACCTTGTTGGCGTTTCTGAAGTCGGCTCGTGCATGCTTAGACGCGTCTCACCGTTACTCACTTTACGAGAGGAATGGTCGTCCGTCCGCATCAACATAAGCAGTTAAGTTTTCTGCCGTTGTTGGCTTCTGTCTCTTCTTCTTGTCTAACGTATATATATATATATATATATATATATATATACATTTGTTTTCAATGTACTTCCTTATTAGCCAACATACAGGAGATGAGATTTTGAAGAATGAACAGACATTTGATGTTAACTGTGGCTGATTCTCATATCACACAGAATTAAATGCTAGAAAAATACATGTTAACTTTACAAGCCCTGCAGACTATAGTCATTGTGTTGAACGGTAGTGTGATGTTGAACAGGACTCCCTGCTGTCAGTTCATGGCAGCCCTGGTAACATTAGTGTGAGAATAATACACACTTCATGAGAACACACTGCCGCTCAGTGTTTACCTCTCCCACACCACTCTGGTTTCTGGAGGTAACTCATTAACCCTGACATCAGTGATGTGCATGGACGTGTTCAATGATCAACCCGCTGCACCGTGTGTCTCAGGCAGAACAAACAGCGCTCTGCAGGCTGCGGCTCACTGAGCGGCTCAGTGACGCTCCGATTCCCTCGCCCCCTGAACGCACCACGCATCAGACCAGCCCCCCTCCTACTGAGTGAGCTTTACAATCTTGTTTATTGTTCCACACAGTCCCCAAGATGTTTCTATTCCTGCCTCACATCTGGGGGGTGAGTTGGAGGGGGGGGGGGTCGAGGGTCGCCCCCTCTCTTTGGTCTGCTGCGGCATCATGGGAGACATGGCTGTTAGTTCATGAGTTCAACACGGGTCTGAGAGACTGTCAGCTGACATCCTGTTCGTCACACTGTGTGTGTGTTTTTGTGTGTGTAATGCCTTTGTCAAATCTTTAAGACTTTAGCAGCGTCACTCCTTCTTCATGGTTTGAAGGCTACACTTTAACAAAAAGTGTGTTCACATTTCAGAGTGTGAAGTTCTAATGTTGTAAGTAATTGAAGTAATGGCTCGCATTAATCATATTACTCAAATCCTCTTTTTTAAATCGATCCGTGGGGCGTTATAGCTTGCCATCAACACCCACTGCTTTGCTAGTGCTGTATTTACTGTGATTAGCATGTAGCTTGTAGCATGTTAACAAACACTGATTGCTCCAATAAGGAAGTGTGGTTTGAATCAGCAGGTGTAGTGCAATGTTTAGATTATTTGTGCATATGAATCAATAAAACAAAAAAGGAGGAATAAACTATAAAGGAAGAACATGAAAGACCACCTAACAATTACATTAATTAACATTTCATTATATTTTTCTGCCCTGATTTCATGCACTGTATCACAAATCCGTGTGCTCAAGGAGAGGCTGATAAAGATGTTCACTCTGTATAACTGGACCTCGTTGTGTGTGCAGGCTCCTGATGTGTGATGGTGTGCGGCTGTGACGGTGTTGCTGCTTCTCGTGTCCCATTGAAGGAGGAGGACTGCCCCCCCCCCTCGAAGCAGCACCGTCGGTGAGTCTCAGCAGGAGAGAGGGAGGTGTAAATCTCACCTCCTCCCCCCTCAGGCTCTCTGTCGCTCTGATGGAGAGGAGCTGAGGAAGAAGCTGTGAAAGGGGGGAGGGGGGGACATACTGTAGCAGCGTTTTGTTCATGTAGTCAGAAGTTATTTTATTCTGAGTGAAGAAAGACCAAACTTTTTTAGCTCAAGCCACTGAAATAATTTGTTAATATATTTAATAATGATCAATTTGTGCTTATTTTGTCACTGTAACTTTATTTAAGTGAGTAAGTCTCCCACACAGACTGAAACGCCTCAATTGGACTTATTTGCTTAATTCTGTAATATAGTGATGTCACTATGTAACACTCGTGCTCCTATTGGCTAGCCCTCCAACACATTGTACGTGCTAAAGGGCTGGACATCTCTAAGCGGTTGACCAATCACAACACAGCCAGCCAGCTAACCAATCAGAGCAGACTGGGCTCTGGTTTCAGACAGAGGGGTGCTGTAGCACAGGAAGTATGAGAAAAAAAAGACCTTGTTGAGCAATAAGGCAACAATCATGTCACAGTAGAGGCAAAAAATATTATGAACCTGAACAGAATATGTCATGTTTACATAAAAAAATACAGCATCACATCTCTCATGGTTATGTCGTTATCTAAAAATCTCTGGTGTTTACCGCAGAGGCAGTGTTAGATATTAGACATTATGTTTGATGTATGTGAGGTTAGGGTGTGTGTGTTGTGAGGTCTGTGTGTCCCTTGTGTTGTCATTAGTGTACAGTGCTGCTGTTTGGTCTCCAAGGTAACCTCTGTCCCTCTCCCAGCAGCCTCCTGGGCCTCAGGACAGACCGCGCCCCCCTCGCCTCCATCACACATTGAGCACCCCCACCCCGCCCCCCGACTGTTTTTATACTGTTACACACTCCTCTTCGCAGCGGCAGTGCTCCCTCCTGGTGAAGGTACCCCCTCCCCCAACGTTAGCACTGCCCGCTAATGTTATTACTATAATTATTACTACTCTGTATATCATTCATATTAATGTTATTATTATGATTATTACATACATATTAAGCATGACTTCGCAAAAAAAAGGAAAAAACCCAATGCTGTACATTTTTAGATATTTTAAAGAAATACAAAAAAGTATTTTTGTAATCGAAACTGTTTGAAATGTTTGATCCTGTTTAAGTGTGCAAGGAACCGTGTGTGAGACATCATACAATTATGAGTCATCATAGAATAATCAGTCATAAAACAATGAGTTATCATAAAACGAGTGGACGTAATGCATCAAAGCAGAGTGTGTCTGCTTTTCTACTTCCTGTTTCTCCGTGTGGGTACCCCATGGAGCCAACATGTAGTCCTGATGTAGTCCAGATAGGGCCAACATGTAGTCCTGATGCAGCCAACATGTAGTCCTAATGGAGACCACATGTAATAGTAAAGCCAACATGTAGTCCGAGTACAGCCAACATGTGATCCTGACGTAGTCCTTAAAGAGCCAACATGCAGCCCTGATGTAGAACTCATGGAGCCAGCATGTAGTCCTAATGGAGCCAGCTTCTAGTCCTGACGTAGTCCTTATAAAGCCAACATGTAGTCCTGATGGAGCCAACATGTAGTCCTGATGGAGCCAACATGTAGTCCTGATGGAGCCAACTTGTAGTCCTGACGTAGTCCTTATAAAGCCGACATGTGGTCCTGATGGAGCCAACATGTAGTCCTGATGGAGCCAACATGTAGTCCTGATGGAGCCAACATGTAGTCCTGATGGAGCCAAC